GAAGACATGGCTGTCGGCGACGAGAGCACGAACGAGAGAATGTTTGGTCACCAGGACGCGCTCACTCTCGACGACATTCCAAGAATCGTCGCGGCCGAGCAGGTGAAAGAACAATACCAACCCGGACGCCAAGATTTATACCGTTCTCCGGCAACGGAGCCCTTCATGGGACACCAGCGATCCCAGTCGACGGGGAGGCAAGCAGACGCACGCGCCGGTGACCAACCACGAGGGGGGCGGAGGTTCTTTTCTGAGCTCTCAGCACTTGAGTACTTCAATGTGCGTCATTTGGCCGTGCTCCTGATGGCGCCTCATGTCGAGTCTGAGTTTACCATGGATGAGCTCCTGAGCTTTATCGATGCGAAGAAGCCAGCTACCTTCTGGAAGAATATTGGCAAGGCATTCAAGAATGACCGGTCCAAGGCCGTCAAGAAGAAGGGTATTTTCGGTGTTCCACTAGAAGTGATTATCGAAAAAGACGGCGCCGAGTCGACGGACGGTGTCGGCCCAGGAGCTCTGAAGATCCCTGCTGTCGTCGACGACATCATCAGGGCCATGAAGGGTATGGATCTGTCAGTGGAGGGTGTGTTCCGAAAGAACGGCAACATCAAGAAATTGACAGACCTCGTTGAGAGGATTGATCGCGATGGATGCGACAGCATCAACCTAACAGAACAGCCGGTCGTTCAGATTGCCGCTCTGCTCAAACGATACCTGCGCGAGCTTCCGGACCCGCTCCTTACCCACAAACTTTACCGCCTCTGGTTGACCATTTCGAAGATCACGGACGACAACAAGAGGATAAACTGTCTACATCTCAGTTGCTGCCTCCTGCCCAAAGCGCACCGCGACTGCATGGAAATCCTCTTCTGCTTCCTCAAGTGGGCAGGCTCTTTCCACCAGGTCGACGAGGAGGTTGGCTCTAGGATGGACATCAAGAACCTCTCGACCGTAATTGCGCCTAACATTCTCTACACAAACGCGAAGGCGTTAGCCCTGGACAGCGATCCAATGTTTGCCATTGTGGGCGTCGAGGATCTGATCAGCCATATTGAGGAGATGTGCTTGGTGAGTACCCGACCACTGAGAGTCCCGTAGGTGGCCAAGCTAATCAGGCTACACTAGGTCCCTGACGAAGTCATGGGTCTCATGGATGACCCATTCGTGATCGCGGGCGGCAATGCCGATCTCTCTACGAAGGAGATTCTGAAGCGCTACCAGGACCGCATGGGTCAGAAGCCTGCGGGCTTCGGAGGCGACATGGGCGAGATTCACAACCGTCAAGACAACTCGTCTCGCCCGCCACCAACACGAGTAGACACGGATCCCGGTGTCTACAAGCAAGCCAGCAGCGTTCGTCCGGTGATGGACACACCTGCGCCCTTTAACAACACGCAGATGCCGGGCACTCCCCCGCAGGGTTGGAGGGGGCCTGGCGACTCGGGACATCCCTCGCCGTACGGGAGCCAAGGGAACCAGTACGAGACGGCAGACGCGCAGCTTGAGCAGACCGAGGGCGGGCCCAAGAGAGAATGGCGTAACTCCGGGTGGGGACGACCGAATGGGGTTGGAGTTGGCGGTAATATCTGAGGTCTCACAACTGACGAGTCACCATGGGGAACCGATGCTCCGGCTTTGAGAGCGAGCTTTCAAGTGGATGACTGCGATGGGCGGGGGAACGATGTCACGAGAGGCCGACGAAGCACTGTCGGCGTCATCGTGCATCCCCTGTCGAGGAGACATTCTGGTTTGCTCGCAAGGGAATTCCATCTATTCGCATTGCATCACCGGCGGCGTTGTAAGCCTTTTTCTTCAGTTCAGTCCTGGACAAACCAAAAAACAGACCTGCCGTTTCCAGTCACCCGCGACCGAGCTTGTTTCCTCTGACTTCATGTGCACAAGCAAGTGCAACCTGGCGGTATGGTGAATTTGCGTTCCCTTCTTGTTGTTCTTCTGCCACTTGTGGCTTGCTCAGGCGGCGTAATTGTTTGACCATATTGTGAGCCTGGCGGTAGGCTGAGGGGAGACTGTTTGGGTTGTTATTTCTATACTGCTTCTTCAAATTCTCCCAACCACACCGTTGGGCGAGATTCAGAAGGCTTCGCCCTTGTTTGTGAGTATTTGTGCTGGTTCTGTCGTGCCAGGAGGGAGAGCAGCAGGGATCCGGGGGCGCTCTATGCGGTTGTCTCGGCAGGCTCAGCGATTGACTCGGGTTGGAGGACGCAACTGCAGTAAAGGACAGCAATTATTCTGCTTGGCAGACTCAAACGTGTCTTGTGGGTGGTGGGGAGATGTTTGGAAACGGCAACAGAGCATGAGTCCACAGGTGGTTGGGTGAGCACAGGAGGTCCCAACGATGTCTCCTCATAAAGGACAGCACAGCCGCAGCCTCGGCAATCTTTGCAATCGAGACGGCTGGTCACCTGCCACAATGTTTCTACCACTCGCATGTTTGACTCGTCGCTCTCTACGAATGCAAAGAAAAAGAGTCGTTATGTGTTGATTATGTAGTACTGTCCCATATCTCGTCGAAGGGGGTATAACAACGTAGACATGGCACTATTCCAGCCGAGCCACTCCTCCTGCCATCCCCTGGGCAGGCCTCCTTTCTCAAGCCCCTTCCCTTTTCTTTTTCTCTACGTACAACCCCTCTCTCGACATTCACGTTTCCTCTACTCTTGCTCTTCCACATCCCAAGGAAACCCCCTCCTCATACGACCTTCTCAATGAGGCCCGCGGCTTCTTGGTCTAGGAACCACTTGACGCCCCTCTTGATGCCGTCGTCGAGGCTCACAATGGGCCGGTAGCCGAGCACGCGCTTGGCCTTGGTAATGTTGTAGTAGCGCGTCATGCAGCTGAAGACGCAGCGCTGGCGCGTAAAGGTGGGCGTCTTGCCGAGGATGTGGAAGACGACCTCGGAGGCGAAGCCCAGGACGAGGCCGAGCTCGCGCGGGATGGCCCAGACGTGGCTCGTGCCCTTGTCGCTGCCGGCGGCGCGCCAGATGGCGCGCGTAAAGTCCCAAAAGTAAATGGGCGCGTCGTTGGTGACGATGAAGGCCTCGCCGTCGACGCGCTCGTGGTCGAGGGGCACGGTCGGGGCGCGGGCGGAGACGAGGAGCAGGCGGGCGGCGAGGAGGTGGGCGTGGGCTATGTTGGCGACGTGGGTGAAGTCGAAGAGGTTGTCGCCGTCGCCGATCTGGAAGCCCGTGCGGTTCTGCCGGTGGATGCGGATCATCTGGTGCGTCACCATGGTGTCGCCCTCGCCGAAGATGCCGGCGGGCCGGATGGCGGTCGTCAGGAGCTTGGAGTCTTCTTGGCGGTTGGCGGCGAGCACGAGCTGCTCGGCTTCGGCCTGCGGGGTTGGGTAGGTCAGTCAGACTGTTGCGCAGGTTTTGATCCGTTGCAGTAGGAAGATTGGGGCAAAAGGGAGGAAGCGAAAAAGCGGAAAGAAAAGCGGAAAGGATGCCGACCTTGGTCTCCGTGTAGTACTCGGTCTGGGCGTCGCCGCGGATCAGGGGCCAGCGCTCGTCGGCGTTGATCAGATCGCTCTTGTTGTCGCTGATGACGCTGGCGGAGCTGGTGTAGACGAGGGCGGTGACGCCGGTCTGCTGGCAGGCGCGGATGACGGCGGCGGTGCCGTCGACGTTGACCTTCTTGAAGAGGTCGTTGGCGACGGCGGCGGCGGCGTGCGGAGCCGGACTGGCCGTGTGGATGACGACGTCGGGCTTGACATCCTCAAAGATGGAGAGCAGGCGGTCGGCGTCCGAGATGTCGGCCTCGTGGTAGGCGACGCGGTCGGCGTCGGGACGGCGGTTGCGTTGGCACTTGAGGTCGATGACAGAGACGGCCGAGGCGCTCCAGAGAGGCTCGTCGAGGATCTGGTTCACGACATGGTGGCCGAGGAAACCATTGCCTCCAATCACGAGAACACGGCCGAGATCACGGGCCTTCTGCTGTTGAGCGGCGGGCGCAGCGGCCGCTTTCGAGGGAACAGTCTTCTTCTCGGACATTGTGACTGCTTGTGGGAGGGGTGGAAGAGAGAGGGATTGGGGAGAAAGGGGCGTGGGAGTCGGGTGGCAGAGGGCGCAGAGAAGTCGTCGTTGGCCTGGCGAGATCTACGAATCTGGGGTTGCCAGCACGTTTCTCTCGGGGGGGAGCAGGAGCAGGGGTAAGTAGAGGTACTTTAAGGTGCATGCGAAACGGCTGGCGACAAAGGGTAGCTCTACAGCAATCTCCCCTCATCTGGCACCCATCTGGCACCCATCTGGCACCCCACCAGCAGCGGGGATGCTCGGTGAAGGTTACAGGGGCTCGATGCCTATTCTTCGCCTCGAGGCGGTCCAATTGGGGAGTTTTGGGCACAACCAGGGGCGGCCTTGAGATGGCCCCAATGCCACCAATGGATGTTGAAGGCTGTCGAATGCCAAGTGGAAGGCCGTCACTTGGGTGCTTTACTTTCCATTCCTTTCCCCCGTTCATCACGCCCTGCAACGGATACCTATCCATCAATGCCCCGGGACAGAGAGCATCACCTTGAGGGACTCTTTCCAGACAATGTTCTGCAGTGCAGGCGCCCGATGCTCCAGAGGGGCCAACCCGATGCATCTTCCCAGCTTTGGGAACGAGCGACCCGCTGCACCTCCCAGGTCTTAGGTGCCGGTTATAAAGGTAGGGTAGGTACCTAGGTACCAATAAGTGCCTATCTAGGTACCTAACCAAGACACCTAGACTGAGGTACATGGTACGCTTCTGCGCCTCGGCATGTACCGTCAGTGCCACGGCGGCGAGGGGTCACCTGGACGACTTCACACAATATTGACTCTGCTGCCTGTCCTATTCCCATACCGAACCTTGCGTTCCCATTCATCACCCACGCTTCATCTGCATGCGGCCTTTGGGCGCCTGCTCCGGTCATTTCTCAACAGCTATCCAGCTCACGTCTTGGCTATGCGCGCTTCCTTGACGCCGCATCGGCGCCATCTTCAGAAGCCTGCGTGACCATGGCCAAAGCTGCCACGACGGCGACCGACGACAATGTCGAGATCCTGGTCCACGTCGCGGCGCCAGCCATGAGCAAGGACGACGCCACGTATAGAGCGCTAGCAAACGCGTACCTCGCCTTTCATCCGGCCTCTCGTACATCCCTACCTGCCTTGACCTCGCAGCATGCGCAACAGGGTCCCACGACACCAGAGCAGCAGCCGCCGTCGTCAAAGACGCACGAACCGTTCGGCCCCTCCTTTGAATCCGCAGAGCTGTCGTTTGAAGGAGCATGGGACAATGCCGACTCCCCTCGACTCACAGCTTGGCCACAGAGCCAGCCTTACCAATCGCCATACGCAACGGGCGCCCCGTCGCACACATCGCCGCCAGGCGACCATGCCGAGATGATGGGTGCCGAGGACTCGTGGATCGCGCCGCCGAGCACCGTCCCAGACTCAATGCCCTGGAACGACCTTCGACTGCCAGAGCTCTCCTCTCCCAGTCGCACAATGGAACACTTTCTCGGCCTGCTGGAAGACTGCTCGTCATTCGACGACTCGGCGCTCGACGATTCAGTCATGGGAACGAGTCCCATCCGACAAGGAGGGGAAACCGTCAAGTCTTGCGCCGTGGGCAAGGTCCCAATACCGGGGATGCGCCCGCCACTGCTCCCGCTGCCGTCGCAGCGGGCGCCTTCAAGTGAGCTCTGTAATGTGGACTCGGACATTGTCGTCCCCGCATCCTCGTCCCTGCCTCCAGTCATGCGGCGTGGCCTATCTGGTTTTGTTTCAAGGGCCGAGGACAACAGGGCCGAGGGGAACAGAGCCGATGATAGTATCATCGAAGAGACAATTCTCGAAGAGGAAATCTTCGAAGAGAAAATCCTCGAAGAGAAAATCCTCGAAGAGAAAATCCTCGAAGAGAAAATCCTCAAAGAGAAAATTCTCGAAGAGAAAATCCTCGAAGACACGACTGTCGAGGACACGACCGTCGAGGACACCCCCCTACCCCGCCTGAAGCGAAATCGCCCCCATCATTCGCGCGCCGGTTCAGATCCTCTCCCGAGCAAGCGCGCAAGGCTGCCCTCTCCAAATCGTCTGGCGCGAAGCTCAAGCGACACGGGGCCCGCGTCCCCCAGTCCACAGACCCCAGCCTATCCCTTGACGCTGCGCAACCCATCCGACTCGGCCTTCATCTCGCTGCTCGAGATCGAAGCCCCGGCTCCCAAGACGTCCGCGGCATCTCTCTCGCCAGACGACCTGATCACCCCCAACATGCACCTCCTCATGCGCTCCTTCGGCCTCCCCCGGCGCCTCGACTCGGTCACCCGCCATCGTGCCCTCAAGCCGTTCGAGCGCGGGTACTGGCTCCTGGACTGCGCCGGCTGGGAACCGGGCCTCGCTCAGCGGGCTTGGGGCTTCCTGTACAACTACATCACGGACGGATTCGCGGGCTGGGGCAGCCGTTGCGTGCGGGAGGCGGGGTGGCAATGGATCCGGTTCTGGAGCTTCGGCCATGTTGCCAATCACGTCTATCTCCTGCTCCACGTCGCTACCGAACGGGCGATCAAATCGGAGGAGATTTCCTGGGTCGACGGTGCTGGCGAGGTCGTCCTGGTCACCAAGGGGCATGCATAGCTGGGCACTTTTTTCGATTATCGGTGTTTGTTTGGTGGTTTATTTTATTTTATTTTATTGGGCTGGCGTCAGGTTTTGCATAGCGAGGGGGGTTTGTTTGGATCATCCGCAGAGAGCATCAATGAGCTGGCATGAGTCGGTGGTTGGTTTTGGCTACGGTTTCCGTTTTGGAGACGATACAGGTGATGAACACACATCTCCGAAGAACAATCCGTGAGATTCCAAAGTATAGTATCCCGCGGCTGGTGTCGATGGTGCTACAGTGAAGATGATTTCGCCCACCCACCACAAACAAGAAGGGGAAGCCATTCCTGCACATAAGACAAGCATAAGGACCACGCCGCTGCCGGCCCATCTCCCAGAGGTCTACACACAGAGTACCGCAAAACCAGTCCAGTCGATAAAAAACGGGTCTCTACATCGTTCGCAATACACTACTACCACTCCAGACAGCATTATACAGTCACTCAAGCAGAGGGCGAGGCGGGCTTCCTCTTGACCTCCTTGTTGAGCACGCTCGAGACCTCCCTGGCGTAGCGCTCAAAGTCGGCCGTCGCGAGATCCTCGTACACCTATACATGGTCAGCGACGCTCCAGAGAGACCGTCAAGGGAAAAAGCTTGGCTGGGCCTACCTGTCGCTGCTCCTCGCTCAGCTGCTTGTACTCCTCGGCAATGGTGCGCGTGGTCTCGGTGACGCTGCCGCTAAAGTCGCCGCTCGCCCAGCGCGCCTTGAAGAAGAGGTTGTAGACGGTCGTGGGCCGCTTGGGCAGGCGCTCGTCGCGGATGGGGAAGCGGTGCGTGACGCCCCGGCCCTTGTTCAGCTTGCGACGCAGCACGTTGCGCGCATTGTTGGCGGCGGCAATGTCGGCGGGCGCGTGGCTCTCGACCCAGGCCTTGTAGGCGGCGTTGTTGGCGACCTTGTTCTTCTCGGCGAGGTCCTTGAGGCGCTGGTCTGCCGTCAGTCTCTGTGCACACACACACACACACACACACACATAGGCAAAGTACGCCTGCCATTGCGTCTCCTCGAAACAAACAAACAGATGGCAGCGGGAGGGGGGCCAGGGGCTTGCTTACCTCAGTCTCGGCAGCGTCCAAACGTCTGTACTCCTCGGCCAGCTGCCTCGCGCGCTCGCCGAGGCTGGCCTCGCCAGACTTGATGTTCTGGGTCGTGAAGATGGTCCAGACCGTCTCGGGCAGCTTCTTCGGCTCCTTGAGGAGAGCAATCTTCTTTAGCTCGCGGACCTCCTGCGCGAGCTTCACCTCGGGCGCGACCTCCTTCTTGGCCTTCTTGACCTTCTTCGGCTTAGGCTTGGCGGCGGCCTTCTTCTTCTTCGGCGCCGCCTTCTTCGTCGCTGCCTTCTTCGTTGCCGACTTGGTGGTCTTCTTCACGGGCTTCTCTGCGCCTTCGTCGGCCTTGTTCACCGGCAGGCGGGCCCAGTGTGTCGTCGTAAAGGTGCGGGCGGGGATGCGGGAGGCATTTGGGGCTGCACGACAGAGGGTGCTGCTGGGCGCGGCGCGGATGACCAGGCGCTGGACGGCGACGCGACCGATGGCGGTCAACATGGTTGGCGAGGCTGGGTTTGAATGGGAGGAGCTTTAATGGTCACGTCGGAGGAGGGCGGGCAGGTTGTTGAATCACTCAGAGCTGGGGGAGGAGGCAGAGTTGGGATATGAAACCGGTAGTCGTCGTGGTGGTCGTGTGGTGCATGACAGGAATGTGTTGATAGGTTCACGCAGGTGTGGAAGCATGTTTACCTCCCTTGGGTACCTTGGCTACCTACCTAGGTACCTTGCCTTACTGGCCTAGGCACCTTGCCTTACTGGCCTAGGCACCTAAGGTGCTAGCTCCTCCTCCCTACGTCGTTAGTGCTCCCCTGAAGAGAGCTCATTCTTGGCTGCGCGCACAGACCGCTTGGAGAAGACGACCATCTCCTTTCGGGACCCTGGGACCCTTTCGTCATGCATCAGTCGCATGTTGACATGAGTGAGCCCATCGTTGGATACCTATAGCTCCAATCTACTGAGATTGATGGTGAAGAGCCCCTCGGGGCAGCTCGTGAGCCTGAAGGTAGGCGAAGAGCTTATTCTGTCGGTGAGATAACGGTAAAGCTGCCGTCTAGATCCGTGTACAGGTCAATCAGGTGGATGACAGTACTATACCGACCAACACGGGGCAGGCACAGGGGCTGTCATGAGTGACCATCCTGTTGCCCAACGATTCCCAGAGCTGTACCCCCTTCCTTCAACAACCCCGAACGAGATCGTACCAAAGCAGAGGCTGCGCTGCATGATACATTTTGGGCAGCAAAAAGACAAACCAGGCCCCGACCAACCGACCTGTCGTACGCAGCAGAGGTAAAACATCTTGCGTTGTCTGTAAATGGGTTGCATCGCCAGGGAGGGGATGCTCGGTACAGTGCCCTTTGCAAGCGTCTCATACGCGACCATCGTACAAGCTGTGTCACTGCTTGGAGACGAACAATTGTGTTGATGGGACAAAAAGAAGTTGGACACCGCCAGAACATCGATTTCATTGTGCAATGGCAGTGTGCTCATTTCAAATCGAGTAAAGGTCGGCCGGCGTAGGTCACCATCGACAGCTCCATCACATCACACCACGCCTGCAAAGAGTTTACTACATCACCCCAGACCTCACTCTGATTGATTCCCAAGGATGGCTGTAGGACCGAGTCAGCACCCAATGTCGTTACCCATATATCTAGTGGAGAGTATCGGCGCGCCGAACAACCACCATGCCAATTTCGTCCTCACCAACGAGAAAGACGGATCTGGCTACAAATTCCATGTCAAAGGAAGCATCCAGCTCGGCATGCTGTACGAGGCCACAGAATATCACAGACCGGAGGAATCGCCCGAGTACCTGGGCAAGTCGTGTCTGGGGTGGGTGGATGTGGACGACTACCCTCGCGTCAACGACATCTGCACCAATGTACCGCCACCGAAGAAGCAGTTTCATGGAGCCAAGAGGTTGTACCCGAAGGAGCCCCTGAGACGCTGCCGGGAATGGGTCAAGGAGGCGATTCAAGCGTTGGAGAGCAATGGCGTCTTACACAGATCAACCCCCGTCGTTGAAACTCCTTGAGATATCCAGACAGTCATCCGTTGAGAAGCATTGGGCTAGGATGCAGGGTTACGGTCTCTACCATGGGAAAGGTAGCGAAATCTTCCATGAGCAAACCAGGCACAGAGCTCTTCAACGTCTTTCAGGAGAGGAACTAAAGGGGAGGCCAGGCAGAGGCAGAGGCAGAACGTAGAGGAAGCAGCCAAACTCACCATCAGACTGACGCCTAAGATACGGCGGGACAAGAAATGAGGAAAAGCGTCTTTCTTAGTTTTGTGTTTTCAATCCGTCTTGCTGTCCGTCGCTCATATAATTAACAAAACTGGCGTCCTGGAAGACGCTTGTTTCTTCTGAAACCCTTCTGCCGTAGCCAAGGCGGAATTGACCACTCGAGATGCCGGGCTCCGGATCTCCAAACTTCCCGTGATGTTTGACTCGCAGATTTGAGTTGTGATTTCACGAGGAAATGTATTGACAGCTCTAATACACGACAAATATCACGGTCTAAACCAAACTGGTGAGGGTTTACGATGGCGTTGCGGTGCTGAAAAAGACTCGGCCAAACGCGCCACCGCCTCTCTTGCCCCCAATCAACAAGAGGGCATTGTTTTGTCTCTTGTATCTTCATCCTGACCAAGGGCTCAAGCGCTCTGGTTCGCTCTGTGGGTAGGGGATCCAGCCCTGCCTTGTAAGTCCCATCCTCGTGAAGTCCGAAGTAGACCATGATCAGACGCCCCCAGAAGAGATAATCAAACGCCCAGTCTCTACGAAAAGCAAGGTTGACCTTGACCATCCAGGATTTCGTATCCCAGCTTTCCTGCAATCACTGCACAAACGTCTTGGGCTTCTCAGCTTCTGCCCCTAAAGATATGCTAGCTATATCTTCGGTGGTCCTAGACCTATTAACTGCCCTCTTCGTCTTCAAGAATACGGATGAAAGTCTTCAGACGCTGCCCATAGGCCTACGTCAACCCATATTAACCGCCAGCTTAACAGTCTAGCTATCCTAAGAGCAGCCACCAAGGCGGATTAGGGGTAAATTGGAAGATGCTACTTGGGCGGCTTTACAACCTATAACCGCAACTACTTAGAGGTTGGTATAGTTCAAGATGAGGGCCTTTTAGTGGCAAGTCCATAGTGCTAAAGTGTGGCGAGTAGTCGTATGGGCAGCTACACAACGCATCGTGGCCACTGCATACCTTCCTTTCTCATCGGAAAGCTGCACGATACCTACTTTGACATGAGTGGTCTTTACTATGGCGAAGTCAAGTCAAGAAGGCCTACCACCTACCCTTGCATTGGCATTGAAGGGCCACCGATGAGCTCTCCCTGTACTCCAGGCGATAGAAGATATGAGGCCTCGCAGGACTTGTACCTCAAGATGGAATCGACAATGAGTTTCTATGTAGGCTTGTGAATGGTGGCATCCCACTCCTCAAAAACCTCATCGCTCTTCACCTAAGCGAAGTCGTCTTGGACTAGAGTACGAATCGGGGCTTTGGCGACATTGCGAGTAGGCTGGAGGTGTTGCTGAACGTCGCAGGGCGGGGTGATGCACTAGCCATGATTCACTGCAAGTGCCGCACACTTGGGGGAAGATGTTCACGAGCAGTGACCAGCTGTCCACAGATGACTGACTGTGATATATCACACTGCCTCTCCAACTAGGTGTGCATCAGTGTATAACTGTCAGCGGAGTGAATAGGTTATCTGTAGGGCGACTGGAGTTGGACTGTGTCAAGGGGGTGTATCGCAACGAGTAAGGGCGGGATGGGTACTAGCTAAATGAGAACCGAAGCTTCCCATTGGGTGTTGTACCTAGCCACCAGGCAGGTTGGTGCACACACCATCCTCAGGCTGCCAGCCGGTACGTACTCCGCCTAGCTGGCCAGAGGCACCAACGAGACGCGAAGC